CCGGTAGGGGCGTGGGTGGCTGTAATTTATAGCCTGCAATTCACAGAAACCCAGACTGCAATTCATAGAAACTGGCAGAGCCGCAGTCTCCTTAATCCTGGCAAGGAGCAAGAGCTCCAACAACGGAATTTGTCGAAATGCCTTTTTCAGCAGAGGCCTTTTTTGCGTAGTTTCCGGGCTAGTCTGCCTCGTCCGGAAGCTCCGTTGAACCGTGTTTAGCATCCACAGACAGACGGTGGCACTGCCCTTGTGGTGCCTCTGCTGGGATCAAACCCAGCTCTCCTGCATGGAAGGTGAGACTTCTACCACTGAGCTCCCACCGTCCCACAGTGCACACCTGGGGGGCGTTTTCTCCTAGGGTGTCAGGCAGGAGAACGTTGGCACAGACCTGCAGACGCCAGGGCCAGAGAGGGAGGTGAAATGAGGCTCCCACCTCGTCCCTGGCACTTCAGTGTTCAGCCACCCTTGTGCTTCCCTTGGGAACACTGGCTACCAACACAGCCTGCACTGGCCAGAGCGCCCACCACGGAGGCCACGGCAGTCTACAGTGGAAGCCCGGGCTGCTGTGCCTAATCAGAGTCGAGTCACCTCTCCTTAATGATAGTCCAAGCCCCCCTTCCATTTGCAATCTCTGACCCAGCTATAAGGCAAGAAACATTTGTGACGCGCAGGCAGACGGCACTGGCTTCTGGTTCCTCCTTGGTGACACCAGGTCCTTGTCAACACCCCCTGGGTCCTTCCACAGCCTTCCCACCTGTCCCCTGCACTCCCAGGCTCCTCCAACAGACCTGTGCCCCCCCTCCCCCACAAGGCCTTTGCACATGCTGCTCCCCTCCTCTGGGAACTTATGTTGTTAGACCTGGGGGCAGACAACACATCCCTTCCTGCCTCCGGGGTTCCCCCCTCCACCATGGTGCTAGGTATACAGTAAATCCTGGCAGATATTGTGGGTTGAATTGTCCCCCCAAATTCAGGTCTGCCTGGAAGCTCAGAACGTGACCTTATTGGAAATAGGGTCTTTGCAGGTGAAATTAGTCGACATGAGGTTATATCGCATTAAGTGTTGTTGGGTGCTGTTGGTTCTGACTCACAGCGACCCAAGTGACAGAGGAGAACTGCCCCACAGGGTCTTTTTGGCAGTGATTTTTCCAGGGGAGCCCTGGTGATGCTCTGGTTAAAGCAACCAGCTGCTAACCAGAATACTGAAGGTTTGAACTCACGAGCTGCTCCACAGGAGAAAGATGATGCAGTCTGCTACTGTGAAGACTGACAGCCTGAGAACCCTGTGGTGCAGTTCCACTCTGTCCTCTAGGGGTGCTGTGGGTCAGAATGGACTCCACGGCAGTGGGTGTGGTTTGGGCTTTGCTCCTGTAAAGATTGACAGCCTTGGAGACCCTGTGGGCAGTTC